CGAGATGATTTAGCAGATTAGGCAGCGACTGTAGACCACACAGAGTCGGCAGAAGAGCTACGCTGACCGGCACCGATCTGAGTTGGAGTTTCAGGACAGTGACATGGTACTCCTGAAGGTCTCACCCTGTAAGGGTGTAATCCGCTTCAGGAAGAGGGTGGAAATTGGGTCCCCGATACATTGGACCATTCCGGATCATTGCCAGGGTTGGCAAGGTGGCATATAGACTCGAGCTACCAGAAGAGCTTAGTCAGATCCACAATACTTTCCACGTTTCACAGTTGTGGAAGTGTGTTCTGGACGAGGAGGCAGTAGTGTCATTAGATGATATTCATGTCGATGAGCGTCTGAATTACATATAGAGGCCGATATCCATTCTAGATAGGAAAGTGAAGGTTCTGCGGAACAAAGAAGTGCCTTTGGTAAAGGTACAATGGGAGCACCGGAGGGGATCTGAGTGGACTTAGGAGCCGGAGGCTGCGATGCGGGAGCATTATCCGGAGTTGTTCACCGCAACAGACTTCAACGACGAAGTCTAGTTCAAGTGGGGGAGAATTGTAACACCCTGACTCTCAGGTATAAACTTTTCAGTCTTATATTTCCATTTTGAAAGGTCGACTCGACGAGTTGGATGCCCTGACTCGTCGAGTAGGCACGGATTTGGTCGCGTGTTTTAAGTGACCAACTCGACGAGTTGGAGGACCGACTCGACGAGTTGGAGCTGGAGGATGAAACCCTAATTTACGAGGTTTTTCACCCTATTTAAAGGATCATTAGCCTCCCTTAGCCTCCCTTACAGCCCCCTTTGAGCCTAGAAACCCTAAATCACGTTTTCTCTCTATATTTCTGTGTTTTTAAGCTTGGAAGGTGGATCTTGGTGAAAGGAGCTTGAAGATCAAGAAGCTTTGAGCAAGGAACAGTTGAGGATCTGAACTCTACTCCATTTTAGCATCACTTGAAGGTAACAAGTCGTTACCTTGACTTTCCTCCTTCTAGATCTCTTCATGTTTTAAGATTAGGGCCTTTCTAGCATGTATGTGAACCATTTTCGGGTATGGGCTAGGATTTGAAGTTGCAACTTCAGATCTGAACTTATCTTGGTCTCTATAACTATAAAGTTTCCATCTTTAGCAAGTATGAGCTATTCCCTTGGAGTTAAACCCCATTTTAAGCTTCGATTTCGTTTTCTAACCCTTTAGAGCCTTGCATGCAAGTAAAGTTTGCAACTTTACGTGATAAGCATGCCTTAGGAAGCTAGATCTACCATTTGGAGCTTTAAAATGGCTCAAAATCATATGGACAAGAAATGGACTGTATGAACTCGACGAGTCGGATAAGGAACTCGACGAGTTGGGAAGGGTTTTCCCGTTGTTTGGTTTCTGCATGGACTCGACGAGTCAGTTAGGGTTTTCTCCGACTTCAGAACACGCATAGACTCGACGAGTTGGTCGGAAACTCGACGAGTCAGTGAGGGTTTATGACCTTCTGAACTCTTAAGGAACTCGACGAGTTGCTAGCTGCACTCGACGAGTTGGTCACCATGGACTGTTGACTTTGACCGTTGACTTCCACTTTGACCAAGGGTTGACTAGTTGACTTCTGGGGGTATTTTGGTAACTTGGAAATTTATGGAAATGGTCTTATGGTAAATATAGGTGGTGGAGTTCGTGGTTGTGGTTCGAGAGTTTGAGCTTATCACTTCAGTTCAACAGTTGTGAGGTGAGTTTCCTCACTATGCTCAAGGGTCTAAGGCACCAAGGACGACCCTTTTGGATTGTTATCCTGATATGTTGTTAGATTAGCATCCTGGTAGATAGGATGGTATTATGTTGCTATGATCTATTAGATCAGTATCCGAATAGATAGGATGATGTTATGCTAGTATGATATGTTAGATCGGTTTGTTTGTCTGTAGACTGCTACGTGGTTATTTGATATATGTACACATGTTTGATTAGTGGTTGAGGCTCGTCTGCTTTGTGTGAGAGCCAACCGACCTGGGCATTCCAACCCGATGGTTGTGGGCCGTGAGTATTCCATCCCGTGGATGATTGGACTCGTAGTATGAGGGCATTCCAACCCGATGGTTGTGGGCCTGGGGTATTGCATCCCGAGGATGACTGGACCTATAGTATGTTGGCATTCCAACCCGATGGTTGAGGGCCTGGGGTATTCCAACCCGATGGTTGATTGGACCCATAGTATGATGTTTGTGTTATATGTATGTTGATGTGCGTATGGGTATTTTGGGGGAACTCACTAAGCTTCGGACTTACAGTTGTTGATTTTGTTTCAGGTACTTCTGAGGATCGCGGGAAGGCGAAGACATGATCGTACACCTCCTGTTGTTTATGATTTGATTCTGGGATATTTTGACACTGAACTATTTTGGAAACAACTTTTGTAATAATCAATGGATTTGGAATATTTTTAAAAGTTTAAATCTGGCATGATTTTTATGGATGTTACATCACTGGCCATTACTGTTGCAGAACACTTATACTTGACAGAAGGCTCAGATAATCCTTCGAGTAGAAGATTCGTCCCTGCAACGGTTAGACCCAAATGAGAGCAAATCATTGTGAGGTTCAGATCACATCATTTGGAGTAGTTTGTAAGCAAGAGAGATTACTTTGTTTTGAGAGCTCAAGCGAGGTGAAACCTTTGTGTGGGTGATTGTAATTGTTCTTGGAAGTTTAATAAAATCATCTCTCTCTCTCTCTCTCTCTCTCTCTCTCTCTCTCCCACTCTCGTTTGCTTGTGAATGTAGGTCATATTGGCCGAACCACATTAATATTGTGTTTCGATTTTACAGTTTTTCGTTTGTGTTTTTTTAGATGTTTTATTCTGAAAGTTTTTTCGAAGTTCTTTTTTGTCTGAAGTGCTTAATTTGTTTTGTAAGATTTTCAACAAACTGGTATGAGAGGTTGACAGGTGGTATTATAGCTCTTCTGGTTCTTGATAAGTGGTATTTGAGCTCTTCTAGTTCATGACAAGTGATATCTAATTCCTAACAAACTACTAGTATCAAAACTTAACAAATGTTATCAAAACTCTTTTTATTTTTGACAATTGATATATGACTCCCAACATAAAATCCAAATCAATTCCAACAATATAGATAAATATAATGTTCCATTTTCACAACCAAAATTTTCATTTTCAGATTAGGTAAAAACACTCTTTCCATAAAACTAAGTCAAGAAAACCATAAGTATCAAAATACAACCATCCCAAAAATCATAGTATCATAACAATGTGGAATCACAAAATGTTGTCGAAGAGTGTGTACAGTCAAGCCTTCGCCTTCCCACGATCATCTGAAGTACCTGAAACACATTTAAATCCACAACTGTAAACATGAAGCTTAGTGAGTTCCCCAAAATATCATATATAACACAACATAATAAAAAATTATGGGTTATCAGCAACCCTAGGACTATCAGCAGTCCTGAGGACTATCAGTAGTCCTACGGGCTCACAACATCCCTATGGGTTATCGGAAACCCTGCAGACTATCATCATTCCTGGAGTTATCGACAACTCAATATATACACATAACATCAATCAACAAATAAGACTCAACTAATTTAACATGCACCCTACTATGACATAGGTAATATAGTGAGAAGACTCACCTTGCAAATAACAGACTAACACAACAACTCTATGACAGTGAAGAATGGTACTAAGAATCACCTAATCATCAATATAGAAGTACCCTCTCAATCTACACCCTAAAACCCTCAAGTTGACCAAAAACCAACTTGGTCAAAAAATCAACGGTCAAAGTCATCCCCAGCTGACCTTCGCGTCGTGGCCACCCATAGGCCAAGTCGTGGCAGCTACACAACAAAACAGTTGTGGTGATACCATCTACAACGTCATGGCAAGCAGACTGCCATGTCGTGGGGACTAGTTTCTCACAGCTTAATGGATTAAGTTCTTAACCCTTAACCCCATGAGCTACAAATCTCAGATCTAAACCTTCCCAAAAGTCTTGATGGATAAAGTTTCCAACTTAATCCATTAAGACATCCCAATAAGCCAAGATCTCAAACCCCAATCTCTTAATGGTTGTGCCAATTGCATGGACACTAAACTAAGTCATGACAGTCCCCTTTTTAACCACCACCATGGTGTAGAAGTTGAATAAGGCACACAAAGGTTCTTGAGTCCACTCAAACTCCAAGAACAAGAAGATATGGAGCAAAAAAGCTCATAAAATGATCTAAAACTAGATCTAAAGATCTAATAAGCAAGGTGAAGACTTTATACCTCCAACGACCATAAATGTGATGAAGATGCAAGATCTAAGCTGGAACCAAACACACAAGCACCAAAATGAACTTTTTCTTCCTTCAATCTTCATAAAAGTGGTTTCACACACTCAAAACACACATATGAAGGCTATGATTTGGATGGGGTAAGGTCTTAGAGGATGGAGGTTGTCAAATAAAGCAACCCTAGGAGTTAGTGTCCTTAAATAGGACACAAACCCGAAGATCTAAGGTTTTGCACCAAAATAGCCGCCACATCGTGGCAACGGCTTTCCTACATTGTAGCGCTTCTTGACTCCTCATTCTTAATCAGACGATGCCATGTCGTGGGGCCCAACCACCACAGTCCAACCAAAATCCTCAAAATTTATATTTAATAAATTAAACTTGGAAAAAAAAACATTACCTTAAAAACGGATGTTAAGATAAAAAAAAAGTTTCTAACATTTTAAAATATTGTTTTTTAACATAATATATCACGGAAAACAATTAAATGTCAAACAAAATAATAGGAGAGTGAATGGGGTGAGTGTATATGTGTGATTTTTTTTTTAAATATATGTAAGTAAGTGGAGTATATATAAATAATATAATGATATTTTTTTATTAGTTCTGCAATTAACAGTTGTTTTAGATTGGAAAAGATTGACGTTGACTAAAGAAAGAGAAATTCTCTGTATATAAGTCATCGCTTGAATAGTTACATGTTCAAATGATCTCCGCAAGGCTTTTTTCCGAATTTAATTCACTTATGTAATAATCGCTTGCTGACACAGAGGTATTATCAGCTGCACCAAATCCTCTGATTTTCTGGTCATGGCGTCAAGCAATTAGCGTTTTAATCATCCCGTGCAGATGGCTCAACCAAGTGTACAGTTAGCCTCAATCGACGAGGATAAGTCATTAAGTCAGCATAAGCAGCAGGATATCAAAATTACTGTTGCTTCACAAACTCACACAAAACCGTGTCCAGATCTACTTAATGGTAACTTCTGCTACCCACTTTACTCCTTCAATTCGTTACATATACTGCTATTATACACCAGATTTCATATCGAAAATAAGGCGATTCCTATGATTCTATGAACAATGCTCCAGGCTTGCCGATGGTTGAGAAAAGAGTTTGTACATACCTTTCCGTTTCTGTTTCCACTAGTCTCCTCGGAGAAAATTAGGAAACTTTGCATAAAAAATGGTTAAAATCAACAATCAAAGGGTAATACTGTTCCCCTTTTAGAAATTCCAGATAAGATCCCTTGTTATTTCATAGAAAGCGTACTTTAACTAAGATGGAATTGATTTTCAGTTCTCATTTATAATATGTTAGTAGAGATAACCATAATGTGTTAAAGAATAATGCAATTGTCCTTGGATGAGTGGTTTACTAACATTGTATTACACTGCTTTAAAGGGCCTAGAAAAGATTACATCACCACTGGTATCCCTCTATATGAAGCATCAATTAAAGGTGATTGGAAAGCTGCTAAAGCCATTCTTGATAAAAGGCACGAGTTGGTAAGGTATAGTATCACTGAAAATGGCGAAACAGCACTTCATGTTGCAGCATCAGCAAAAAGCACCAAACAGGTTGAAGACTTCGTGGAAAATCTGATAGAATACATGGAAAAGACAGATCTGGAACTTGAAAACAACAGTTCCAACACTGCCCTCTGTTTAGCAGCTGCAGCTGGAAATGTTAAAATGGTTAAGATTATGGTGAAAAAGAACAAAGCCTTGGTTGCAATCACTGGTAGTCAACAAATGACTCCACTATACATGGCTGCCTTGTTTGGACATTATGAGGTAGTGAAGTTTCTGTATGATAATTCCCAGAATTTGCACGATGATTGTTGGACACCTCAAAACCGTGGTTGGCTTCTTCTGAAATGTGTTGAGACTGATATGTTTGGTATGTGTTCTTGTTTTCATTTTTTATTTAGTTACCTTTTTTTTCATATCATTTTTCCTCATACAGAATCTCAAATATTTTCTAGATATTGCACTAAAGATAGTGCAAGAGTATCCAGACCTTCGTAGTAGTGGAAGTGTGCTTGGAGTTTTGGCTAAAAAGGCTGATGTATTTGCTGAAACAGAATCTAATATCTTTAAGAAAACCTTCAATTGGGGTAAGCAAAGCATCTCTACTCCTTGATACACCATCCATCATTTTTCACTTGTTAGTATCTTATATATTGTTACAGTGATTAATCCAAAGAAGCAAGTTCTAGAAAGGGAAAGTAAAGCAAAAGCATTGGAATTACTTACACTCATTTGGGAAAATATTGCTGAGAAGCCTAGGAACGAAATTGATGCCATAATCAGAGGCCCTCCTGATCCTCTCGTTAAGCCAGATGACAAGTCACCTTCTGACAAAGAAGAACAAACTTTTGAACTACTAAAACGAATTTCTGATGGAATCGACAAAATGCCATTTGAAATCCGAAACTTAATTAAAGATTCTCCTCCTGTAATTCGTCCGAATGTACCAATTCGGGGAAATCCAACTAAAAAGTACTCTGCTCGAATAATATTTGTTGCTGCAGAAATGGGGAATACAAGATTTATTATCGAGCTTATACGTAAGTATCCTGATTTGATATGGAAAGTAAATGATAACAATCAAAGTATATTTCACACTGCTGTCAAACATCGCCATGAGGGTATCTACAACTTATTGTACGAGATAGGCTCAATGAAGGATCTCATAACTCCTCTCAAAGATAAAAATGACAATAATATGTTGCATTTAGTTGGGAAGAGTGCAAAGAAAAAACGACTTGAGGACGTGTCAGGAGTCGCTTTACAGATGCAACGTGAACTATTGTGGTTTAAGGTACAATTTCCTTCTCAACTGATGTTAATTTTTAACTGCTTGTTACTTGATCTACTGTGTTTATATTATAGGAAGTAGAGAACATGATTCCACCTTCTTATCGGGAACGAAGGAACAAAGAAGGCCTAACACCACACGAATTATTCACCAGAGAACACAAAGAGTTAGTCAAACAAGGTGAGGACTGGATGAAAGATACTGCCAGCCAATGTATGGTGGTTGCCGCCCTTATTGCCACCATAGTATTCGCCGCAGCTTTTACAGTGCCAGGTGGATACAATCAGGATGATGGTATCCCTTACTTTAAACGAAAAGGAACCTTTATAGCTTTCGTAGTGTCAGATGCTGTGTCTTTGTTCTCATCTTCAGCTTCAATCCTCATGTTCTTATCTATCCTCACATCTCGTTATGCTGAACGTGATTTCTTGGAATCGTTACCCAAAAAGCTTATGATAGGTTTAGCGACACTTTTTCTCTCAATAACGACCATGATGGTTGCTTTTAGTGTCAGCTTCTTTGTTTTATATCATAAAGATTTGAAGTGGATTCCGATTCTTATTGCCTTTTTTGCTACTATGCCAGTTCTCTTATTTGCTACGTTGCAATTTCCTTTGTGGAAAGATATATTTCGGTCGACGTATGGTTCTAGATACCTCTTTCGGCCCAAGAAACAGGTTCTTTACTATGAAGACTCCATGTCTAATCATCGGTGGTGGTTTCCGTTTAGAGTACCTTTCATTTCAAAATGCACTTCGAAAATATTGAAATTGTTGTAAAGTTTAAAAGTTCTAGTTGTAATATTATTTGATAATTGTTATTATGGTTTTGTTTGATTCCATAAGATGAGATATAACAATATAACATTGTGACATTTTAAGTTACTCATGTTGCAAACAGGTGTGAAATTAGCGATTAGAGAATCCCCAAGCCAGTAACAGTAGGAAATCAATATTTCTGTTCCTTTACGTGATTACTCAAATCCGTGTCCAGATTTGATTGATCGGAAATTCTTAGACATGTTACTCAAATAAAACATTATTGTATCTGGTTTCAGCATCTTTCATCTACAAAACTCCCTAATAATTAATAATCCTGTTTAAAACAGAAGCATATAATAGCAGGTGTGTTAAAGAAGCAACACTGAATTATGCGTGAAAAACAATGGCCAAAATATTTGCTTATTTTTTGCATTAAAGTATAGATCGATATTATTCCACTTAACATACAATATATTATCTTTGCCGTTATCTTACAAGTCGGTGAACTATTGTATTGTATATACACGACCTGCTAGAAAAACGGCAATTTTCTCAATAAATTTTCGATGGAAATATATCTGTTGGAAAACCGAAACCGACCTAATGCTAAAAAGAAACCACCCTAATTTAGCAATGCTTTTTTCGACCACTTAGGTGTTTTGGTAAAAAAAATCAACTAAGTAAGATCTAATCCCCGACGTATTGCTAAAGAGAAAAACCACCCTAATTTAGCAACGCATTTTTCGACCACTTAGGTGTTTTGGTCAAAAAATCAACTAAGTAAGATCTAACCAAATTGTATGAGAGGTTGTGATGTTGCTTTTTTCGACCACTTAGGTGTTTTGGTCAAAAAATCAACTAAGTAAGATCTAACCAAATTGTATGAGAGGTTGTGATGTTCGTGTTTAATCAAGTAAGAAATGATAATCAGAGTGACACACGTGAGTTACAAGAAAAACCTTTGATCCTTGATAGGATTCCGACATAAAATCTTGGGTGGTGATAATGATCACATGCCTTGATGATTTTATTGATATAAAATGTTGAATACATAGATAAATAAGTGAATGCAATTACAATTGTCGTACATGAGCTAAGTGTTGTTTTGGTAAAAAAAAATTATACAAGTGAAACTCAATCAAATTGTATAAGAGACTCCGATGTTCAGTGATGTTGAGAGTAAAGTAAATACAAGATGATGATCAAAGTGACATAAGTGGTTTATAAGGAAAGCCCTTAATCCTTGCTAGGATCTCCGGTACAAAACCTTAATAGGTGATAATGATCACCTGTCTTGATGATTTTATTGAATAAAAATGTTGATTACAAAGATGAATGTGTAAATGTACGTACAAGTATCGTAGATGAGCTAATCGTGTGCCTAGTGTGTGTAATACAAGTGTTATTTATAGTCTAATGCTAATAACAAGAAGTCTGATATTTCTAGGATCCTCCGAGATCAGCCTATGGACGTTATTTGACTTGATATTCCGATTCTTTTGCCAGGTCAAGATGATTATTCGTTGAGAATAATTCTTTAGTTGACTATTTCTGCAAATGTGAGAAAAATAAAGAATATAACCGCTATAGATGTTAGGAAAATAAATGATAATAATCAGGATCCTAAAGTATGTTTAAGGATCATGTGGCTTTGGAAATATTGAGGATCCTGAATGTAATTCTAGGATCCTGACCCTAACAATTGCCCCAAAATTATTTCTGTGAAATATTTGAGGTTAGCTTATCCAATATTTAAAGGGATAATTTAGGTAAATTAAAAAATTAAAAATAATTAAGAGAAAGAGATAGGAAATTTGAATTTCAAATCTTAATTAGATAGGATTTATCCGATCAAGAGTAATCATTGCTTAGTCAAATCATATCTTTTTTCTTCTGTGGCTAGGTTAAGTAGGGTGATGAATCGTTATTTTCTTTCACCTTCTTTACCATTCCCTCCGATCATCCATAATCACCTTCAGAGGTAATTCTCTTCTTCCTTGTTTTCCTTAGTTTTTTCGGTAGTCGTCCATGGGAAAAAAAAAGATGACTCGTTCGCGTGCCAGCATTATTTCTCCGTCGGAGAGCGATTTCGTCGATAAGGGGATCCTGACCTACAATGAGGTATGTTCCTTTGATAACGAGGACATGCAATACCTTAAGTCTATAAGAGCTTTCCCTTCCGACGTTGTTTTTAAACCTTTCGATGCTTCTATTCAACCCGATTTTGCGTCTTCCTCATGGGTATGTTTTCCGGAATACCCTTTTTACTTTTGTTTAAAGTATCCGTTTTCTAGAATTATCTCCAAGTTTTTTCAAGCCACTAAACTTTCATTTGCTCAAACCATGCCTGTAATCTGGAGGATTTTGTCTTGGATTGACCGAGTAAATCTTTCCCATGATCAAGAGATAGGTCTTCCTGAGTTGGCTTTCGTTTATGAACTTTCTACCTTTGGAAATTCTCGTTTCTTACTCAAGCTCAAGCCCAGTCAGTCCCCTTTAATTCTGAAATCAAAACATAATGACGGAGCCTGGAAGGAGAAGTATTTCTTTGTGAGGCGTGATTCTATCACCGACGGAGAGTTTTTGCCTAAAACTTGGGCTAAAAAGGGTAGGGTCCTCTTGTTGGTTTTGAGGATCCTAAAATCTACCCTTCCTATTTTGTTTGCTTGAATGCAGGTTTGAAGTTTGGGGAAGCTTTTTCTGAAGCTGAAGATATTGAGGCAAAGGTTGCAGGCTTTCTTGCTCTACCAGCTGGTGTTAGGACGTTCAAGTTTGATTGTGCAAATCTTCAGGAGGGTTCATCTATGACTGCTTCCATGGCTACCGGTTAGGATATTTTTCTGTTTGTTTACTTCAATATTAGGATTCTGAATTTACGAGGATCCTTCATGGTTTGCAGGATCTAAAACTACTCTTTCCAGTGCTCGCTTCGCTTTGGCTGATCTTGAGGATGGCATGTCTAGTGGTTTACTCGCTGTGAAGAAGGAAAAGATCCCACCTTTTGCTCCCGCCAAGAAGACCCAGATTGACCTTCCTGTGAAGCCTTCCTCATCTCGTAAGAGAAAATCTTCCGATATTTGGGATCTTGAGAATCTTGGGACAAATGAAGCACTAAGGAAGTTGATTTCTTTATCCCAATCTGTAAGTGTTTTCGTGTTCCCCTTGTTCAAATTTGATTTTCTACTTATTGTTGCTTTTTACAGGTGGTTGATCATGTCTCTCGTTCTAATGAGGATTCTAAGGCAAAGCTTTCTCAAACAGAGCGTACCTTGAGGGAGCAAGAGGAGATCAACAAGGAGCTTCTGTAGAGGGTGGAGATGATGTTCAAGGAAAAAGCTGATAAGGAGGAGGAACATGCGACTGAGATGGATGAGGTCATAGCTGAGGTGAAAGCTAGTGCTGCGGCGGCTGTTTGGGAGACGAAGATCAAGCTTGCGGAGGATCTGGAGAATGTGGGATCCTGGAACGTGGCTTGATGGTGTTAGGCCCTGACCAAGTTGACTGGCAAGCCTATGAAAGCTAGTCAGGATCCTGCATTGCAACTGAAGGAGGGAGAAGAGAAGGACAAGACGGAGGTGGTTCTGGGTGGTGGCGATGAATATGTAGTTTAAGATTAATTTGGTTTCTTTAAAAACAATTTGAATGAATTTGGGTTTGTAAGAGAATATTATTATTTCCTCCTTTTGTGGGGTTGGTGGGCAACCCTTTTAATGCTATGGTTGTTTTATACTTCTTTGCATGTTTGATTGAATTGCGTGGTTGTAACAGTAGGATTTTCGAGGATCCTTTTGACTATGATCCCAAAGAGTTCAGGATTTACAAGAATTCTTAGGATCTGAATAACCTAAAATTAGTTAGTAACCCATTTAGGATCTCAAAATAGTTGAGATCCATTTAGGATGATAAATCTTTAATCATCGCATAAGAAATACAACTTTTGAGTAATAAGGATAGATAGAACCTGATTATCCTTATGCTTTGTGACCTTTAGGATTCACTTTCTTTTAACTTAGGAGAAGTGTAACGTTGTGATTCTTTTAGTTCATAGGGTCTTAAAGTCCGTATAAGGAAAGATCCTTGCTTTAAGAGTTCATCAAGGAGGATCCTTGATTGTCTTCAACTTAATAAACTTTAGCGAGGATCCCACCTTAGGAATCAATTGGAAATGACTCAAACTTGGAAAATAACTGAGGGAACTTTTGTTTTGCAACATGATAGTGCTACAAGTCTTGCATATTTTCTGGGGAGATCCCATCTACAAGCAATATGTTAGTATCCTAATTCTTGAAAAACCTTAGGGGAAAATCCCAATATGAAATTACACGTCAATGCTATAAACTTTAGTAAATCATTAGATAAATCCCATTTCAAGGTAACACGTAAGTTTTACAAACCTTAGCAAATTACTGGGGAGAATCCCAATTGTGAGATAACATGAAAATCTTATTTTTAGGGCCAGGATCATTGCTATTTCCAAAGCCTCAGGATACTTAAAACACGTCTCAGGATCCTGATTATTATCGTTATTATTTACAAACACCTATAACGGTTATAATCTCATTTCTTATTAACACATGTAGAGAAATAGTCAATTAAAGACTTACTCTCAACGAAGAATTGTCTTGATCAGGAAAAAGACCCGAAATACTAAGTCAAAGAACGTTCATATGCTGATTCTCAGAGGATCCTGAAAATATCAGACTTCTTGTTATTAGCATTAGAAAATAAATAACACCTGCATTCATCACACTTCATGCACGATTAGCTTGTCTACGATACTTGTACTTACATTTATACATTCATCTTTGAATCAACATTTTAATCAATAAAATCATCAAGGAAAGTGATCATTATCATGTAACATTCTGTTTAAAATAAATTAAATAAATAATAAAATTTAAAGCCGCGAGATGTAATTTTTATTAATATTTTATAGCCAAATGTTATAAATTGGATTTTTGGGGGTTAAAGTGTAATTTCGAGGATTTATTTTGTAAAGATTTTCAGAAGTCAGGGGT